TTGTAGGCTTACAATGATATATGACTATATCAAAATATGTTCAGACTGTTTGGGCGAAGACCCGAAATCCAGTAGCCTTCTCGTGCTCAAGAAAAAAACAGCCCTCCTTCCCCCTCTCTCCGCGACGGGGGTAGGGGAGCGCGTGCATGCTAGCGGAGCTCGCTTGAGGTTCGCGGGCCAGCCCCGCACCCGGCGAACTCCAGGAACCCTTCGAGGAGGCCCAACGGCGGCGCGCCGCCGGTCCAGCGGCGGAAAGGGCCGTGGAAGCAGCTGCGAGACGACCCGCGCTGCTAGCAAACATAATGCCCCTTGCTGGCCAGAGCTGCGGGAGGACCCGCGCCCTGGCAACGAGGTCAGAACTAGGGTTCGTTCCAGCCTTCGAGCAAGTTCAAGCCCGAGGTCGCGAGCAAACCCAAGGCCAAACAGGCGAACATACGCGGTGGCAGAACCCCAGAAGCTAGAGCCCACCGCCACAACCGAGGGAACGCTTGGAGGAAGCTGGCCGAGTGCTGCGATGCGGCTCAGCTTACGGAGGAGGAGCGAGCAGCGGTGAAACGACAGCTCGCGCTCGATCTCCCGCGTCAGGCGAAGGCCGACAAGGACGATGGAAGGTCAAGTGCGAGAACTGGTCGAGCAAGTGCAGAGGCTGACGACGGAGAGTCAGCAGATGAGGACGGAGCTTCAGCAGCGAGATCTAGCGATAGCCGAAATGCGAGGCCACCTTCAGGGACAAACCGACAGAGAACGAGGGCCTCGTGGCGAGATGATGGGCCCGAAACTATTCCACAAGGTGAAGCCGTTCGACGATCAGAGAGCGAGCTGGAAGTCGTTCAGCTTCCAGTGCAAAGCCTACCTGATCGCGCAAGACAGAAGGTATCGACCTCTCCTCGAGAAGTGCGAAGATGGAACGCAGGACGTGGACGACGTGAACCTGTCAGCCCAAGAGGAACCCAGCACGCAGCTGCACTTCGCCCTGGTCCTGGTCATGCCCGAGGACTCGGTGGGCGAGATGATCGTGAGGAACAGCAGCCCGGGCGAAGGAACGGCGTGCTGGAGGCAGTTGCAGAAGGAGTGCAACCCGAGCGAAGCAGGCAACGCGCTAACGATGTGGACCTAGCCCACGGAGGCGAATTTTGAGGCAACGGGCGACGTGATGGTGAGCATCAGCAAGCGCGACGAGGACATGGCGAGGTGCCAGCAGATGTCGGGCGAGCCCGTGTCGGACCTCATCAATCGAGGAATCCTCGCCACGGCGCTCAAGGATCACGGCGAGATGCAGAAGCGCGTGTTTCGGAACAGCAGTCGGCTGAGCACGTGCGAGCTCCTGCGAGCCGAAGTCGTGTCGGCGCTGACGGTGGGGCGGGCGGCCCGCGACGATCCGATGGACATCGGCGGGTTGAAGGCCGCAAGAAGGCGTGGAAAAGGCCGCGGCAAAGGCGAGGAAGGCAAGGGCAATGAGAGGCCGCCCAACCCAGACGCCGACTTGGAGTGCAACAGCTGTCAGAAGAAAGGCCGCCGCATCGCCGACTGCCGCGAGCGGATGGCCGACGAGGAGAAGGCTGCCGCCAACCACGACGGCAGGGACAGGACACATCACATACATGAAACGGCCAAAGAGAAGAAGAGGGTCGCAGCAGCGGCAGTTAAATAGCTCGAAGGGTTGCGACAAGCAGGAGTAGCCCTGGCGACAGGGTCGACGGTGCCCACGCAGCCTCTGCTAGGGGCGCACAGCAGCGCCGAAAGCGCAGTGACCCTGCCAGTCTGCAGAGGGCCGCGAGTGGAGATCATTATGGCTCTGAGGGCCGGATCACAGAGCCCGAATCCGCAGGATCGACTGGAAGTGCACCTTGCCCCCCTACAGTGGGTGCATCTGCAGCTCGTGCATGAAGCTGTTCGAGGGCAAAGGTGGCATTGCGACGAGTGGAACCTGGGCTTCTGCCAGACATGCGCAGAGTACTGCCTGGACAAGCACAAGCACTCGAAGTTCAACTTCTCGCAGCTGCTGCGAGTCAGCTGCGGTCGGGCCCGCGCTGCCCGAGGTCGGGGGCCTGCAGGGGAAGGTGACGGAAGACGACTGACTGCGGTTAGCCCCGCTTCGGAATGCCATCGCGCTCGACTCAGGCGCGCAGGTCAGCGCAGTGCCGAGGAAGCAGGTGACCAAGCATAGCTACACGCCGACGGACAGCAACGTCGTTGGCTTGAAGGGTATCGAGGGCGAGGAGATCGAGAGGCACGGCCATGTGGAGCTCGACCTGTCCCGAGGAGGCAAGGTTATCCATGTTGGCGCGGAAGTTGCCGACGTGGAGTGCCCCGTTGTGGCCGCAGATGCGGCCGTGCAACGAGGCCAGAGCGTTCTCCGTAGCCCTGCAGGTCGCTGGATCATCGACGGCGCCGTTGAGCCACCTGATGGAGCTGAGTTCGCACCTCTACGACGTCACCGTGCCAGCTACTACTTAGAGTACGATTATATCATGGACGGCAGGGCCCAACCGGACGCCGCGCAGGTAGCGGGGGCGAGGAAGACGCTGCCGCGGAAGGTCCCAGCCGAGCAGGCGGCTGGATCTTTGCCGAGGGTTCTCGGCCCAGAGGCGGGCGAGACTACGACTGTGCCGACGAGGGTGCCGAAGTCACCCTGCCGGCCCAGCGCCGCGGAGAGGGCCGCGCACGAAGGGCATCGCCTACTTTTTTTCGCCCTTGGCGCCCACTTTGCGCGGGGGCTCGAGCGGGCGACGACCGCGCTGCGCGCGGGGGCCAGCGGGCGAGATGCGAGTGCCGAAGGTGGCGTTGGACATCTTCTACGTCGGGACTGACCAGCTGGCGGCTATGTGCAAGCTCGAAGGGGGCTACTCCAGCTTCCGCGAGATGCCGCCGGTAACGAAAGCAGATCTGGAACGGGCGATCGCAGTTCTGAACGTGATCGATTGCAAGATCCTGGCACAGGTGACGCTGGATGCTAGCAAAGAGTTGGGCGACTACAAGGTGTCCTTCCTGATCGGTGTACTAGAGGTCTGGGGCCACGTCGCAGATGTGCTCCAGACGGACCAGGGGCCTGCCGCGATGGCCCTGGCAAATGCAGTTCGAGATCGCATGTCTCGCTCTACCTTGGTGCGGGGATCGCCGCCTTTCTTCCAAGCAGAGTGCTGGCTTTGCCGAGGGTGGCAACGAGCTTGCAGCATGTTTACGACGGACCTACAAGCTGAAGCTGGAGCACAAGCTGGGGCGCGAGATCGAGATGGCGGATCCGATCGCGCCTCGGCTCGTCAACCCGGTGGGCTGGATGATCGCCCGGTTTTAGCCGCGTTGCCATGGGGGCTCTTCCCACAATGTGCTGCGCGGCAAGGAGTACAGCGGGGGGATTGCGGAGATGGGCGAGCAGGTCTGGTAACGGATCTCAGCCCGAGTTGCCGCTGCACGCGGTAAGTGGGGGGCCCGCTTTGCGAAGGGGATCTGGGTTGGAAGGGGCGAGTTGGACGACGCGCACCTCGCGATCGACCCGGGGCGCGGCGTGCAGAAGGTCAGGGCCGCGCGGGGGATGCCGCAGGAGTTTAGGTGGCAGCCTGAGCTCACCCAGAACATCGCGGTGGCGCCGTGGAAGCACATCCCTGACAAGAGTGCAGGGCCCATCGGGCGCAGTCTGTACATCGCGGATCGCGTGATCGACGCGCGCGGCCAGACCGACGACTGCAGAAAACGCAGCGCTGGATATGCATATGGATACGGATGCTGGATGCGCAGCCTGCCGTCGGCGGTTCGAGACAATCCAGGCCGACCTCCTGCGCGAGATGTTGGAGAAGGACCCTGTGGCCCCAGAGGCTGCGGTGGTGGTGCCGGCCCCGGCTGCGGGGGCCCCCGCGCCTGGGGCAGCGGCTGGGCCGGCAGCGGCGTCAAGCAGCAGTGAGGCAGCGGTGGCGCCCGCACCTGCTGCAGCAGACGTGGCCATGCCTCCTGTCCCATGAGAGGCAGAAGCACAGACAGGCGGAACCTGACCAGATCAGGGGCGACTGCCAGAGAGGCGCCCCAGGAGAGCCGAGGGCCGAAGTGGAGATCAAGAAGCCGAGAGTAGCCACTACCGGTATGCTCTCTGTCTGCGAACTGGCAGTCTGCGAGGGCGGCTGCGACGAGACTGTCGACCCGATGCGGGATCCACGCCCGAAGCGAAGTTCAAGATGCTCGGATAGGTGTGATAATTATTCGTCGAGATGCCAGCTGGGGGAGCGCCGCCGAGGTGAGCGCGCGCGCGGGCGCTGCCTGATGAGCCGCATCGGCTCTATCAGGAGTCACTTAGGAGAACCTGACGAGGGGCAGATCGAGCAGATGGTTGAGATGAGCGCCGAGTTGCACGAGCGCGACCAGTGGGGCCCAAAGTCGACATGCTACGATTACTACACTGGAGAGCCCCTGGACGAGGATCTGTACCAGAATGGTCGCGAGTCGAGCTTCAGGCCATGAAGGGCTCCGGAGTCTACGTGGAGGTGGCGACGTCGACGGCGACCGACGGCAAGCATATCGGAGGCTTTCCCATAGCCCATCAGAAGGAAGGCTGAGTCAGGGAGGAGGTTCGTGGCGACCGGGATCAATAAGCACGAGGTGCGCGAGGGCCACCACCAAGGCGCGCCGCCGCTCATGATTGTGAGGGCGACGCTAAGCCGCGCCGCATCGACCCCTACTTCGACGGGAGAGCACAAGCGGATGATCCAGGTCTGAGGCGCCAGGAAGGCTTCCTTCAACGCCGACCTCGATGAGACGGTCTACGTTCATCCTGGACGCGAGCTGTGCCCTCCTGGAAGGTTCTGGTGGCCGCGGAAGGCCATGAACGGCACGCGTCGCAGATGTGTGTGTGTGTGTGTGTGTGTGTGTGTGGGGGGGGGGGGGGCTGGTGAGGACCACCGCGGATGACGGCCATTGGGGATGCTTGGCGGAGACACCTAATGTGCTCTACTTACCAGCGAGCCCCAACGTCCCTGCCGTCGACGAGGACAGTGCAGCAATCTGCCGCGGAGGCGACTTTCTGGCCAAGGGCTACGTCGAGCAGCTGGACTTGCTGGACGAGTTGCTTCAACAGCAGTTCGAGGTCACAGCAAGCGCCAGACTGGGTCCTGGAAGACCTGGGCAGACGAACTACCTCAAGAGGATCATCGGGTACACTGGTCAACTGCCAGGTTCAGAGGATCCAGGTTTCTTCTGTGCAGCGGATCCCAAGCACGTGGATTTCATGATTCAGTGGGCGCAGCAGCGAGGTTGCAAGACAGCTCCTACTCCAGGAACGAAGCGGCCGGACAAGGCCGACGAGACAGCTTAGACCTTCTGTCCAAGGAGCGAGCTCGAGAAGTCGCAGGTGCAGCAGGCACGGCGCTCCACCTCTCTTCGGACAGGCCCGGCACTGCGTGCGCCAGCAAGTTCGCGATGCAGCGCGCTTCAAACCTTAATGTTCTGATGCGTGCGCGAGTTCTGCGGCTTGGGCGGTACTGCGAAGGACAGCCTGTGTTGGTATGGTGCTACCCTTTGCAGGGTACTCCTGAGGGCGTTCGTGTGGGTGGAGATGCAGACTGGGCCCCTACGAGCGAATCGCAGCGGCGATCCACGAGCGGAGGAGCAGTGCGGTATGGTGACCGCACATGGGACTGCTACTCAGTGACGCAGAGCACCGCAGCCCTGAGCTCAGGGGAATCCGAGATGTACGCTACAGGCAGTGCGACTGCCAGAGGACTCCAGTGCAAGATTTACCCGATCGAGACCCAGAGGCCATGCAACTTGAAGATCTACGGCGACAGCACCGCGGGACGGGGCATGCGCAGCAGAGTGGGCGTGGGCAAGGTCAGGCACTTGGAACTGAGGTACTTGTGGATTCAAGAGCGGCTGCGACCCAAGGCGTTTGAGCTCCTGAAGGAGGACGCCAACGAGACGGCAGCCGACATGCTCACCGAGTACAGCGAGTGGTCGACGATAGAGAAGGATTGCACCACTCTGAACCTCATGCTCAGGAAACAGTTCAAGGGCTTGAGCGCGATGACAGTTTTCACGGGAGTCGCGACTTCTGCGTCAGGCGAGAAGGTGGCGGTGTGCGAGGGGCCAGGCCAGGCAGCGGTTTGCCCCGCACCTGTGCCCCACTACGTGGACAGCGAAGAGTTCTTGTTCATCCTGAAGACGGTCGTCTTCGCAGTGATCGCTGCGGCGTTCTTCTTGGGTTGCGTGTGCGGTTGCCGCTCGAAGAGCTACGTCGAGAAGGACCTCGTCCAGGAGGCGGTTGGCCCCGCACCTGGAGACGCCGACGTCCACCTGGCCACGCGGACTGACACGGAGGTCAAGACCAGAAGTCTACAGGGACTCGGCACAGAGCCTCGCCCAGCACGGTGCGACGGAGGAGGGAGGCACAAGCTTATCAACTCGTTTCTCGTAGTCGACTTGAAGCAGATCTTGAGAGCCAAGGGCCTGCGCGTGAGTGGTCTCAAGGGCGACCTGGTCGTGGGGCTGATTAAGAAGGGCGGCGTCCTGTCGGATCGCCGGGCCGGGGAGGTCGGGTTGCTGCGAGTGACGGCTACGACGCGCGGACCCGTGATCACGATCAACCTTCAGGACGTGGGTGGCCGTGAGGTCGCGCAGCAGTGGATCGAGACGCTCAAGAGCGAGGGCCGAGATCGCCCCGGTGGCTTTCAGGTGATCCACCTAGGGGGCTAGACGGATGGTCGCAGGAAGCACCACGACAGCCGAGACTGTGAATCTGAGCCAACGGCCAGGCAACGCTTAGTCCCGCGCCTGCCCGCGGCCGGTAGCCCCGCGCTCGGGCTGAGGGCCTGCGGGGGGCTCCGCAGAAAGGCCCGCGGAAGGCCCGCGGAAGGGGCCGCGAAGTTGGTACCTTGCTCGCGCTTGTCGGCTGGAGGCCGATCCGCTTCCCTGCGCCCAAGGAGAGGTGCTAGGAAGTTTGTAGTTTCACTTTGATATATGACTAGATCAACATATAATCAGACTGCTTGGGCGAAGACCCGAAATCCTGTAGCCCTTTGTTGCTCAAGAAAAAGAGCGGCCCTCCTTCCCCTTACAACACAGCTTCCAAATGCCGGCTTGCACTGCATGTCTGTCGCCTCCTACCTTGCACCGCATAGTTTGCACCCTCTCCACCTGGCGCGCACTGCATATATATATATATATACATATTATATATATATATATATTGCACAACGTAGCTTACATTGCATCGAATCAACCTCCACGGTACAATGACTCACTGTTTGAGGTACGCGTTGGCTGACATGTTCAATACATGTGCCCCAGAGTTGTCGACCCATTTTCAAGGACAGGACCAATTTTCGTTGCGGACAGATTTTGGTCGTCCAGGAACCCCAGTGATTTTTCTGGAGGCCACAGTTTGAGATACATGTATCCGTCGGGATTGTCTTTTTAAAAGACTTTGGAAGTCTGCATATTTTCTTCTCCTCCCCATCTCCCTCTTGCTTCTTCCTGCCTGTTCCCATGGGGTGGGGGGGGGACTCGCTTTTAAAGCCGGCGAAGGCCTGCCCCTTCCCATGGACGTTGCGGACATCCACCATGAGGGCCAGACGCTGTTGCAGGAGCATGAGGAATAGGAGATGAATCACGTTGACGATGTCGATGACGAAGGCGATGACGATGATGATTATTATACTAATGATGATGATGGCGATGATGATGACGATGAGGTTGATGGCGATGCTGTTGATGATGGTGGTGCTGATGATGATGATGCTGATGATGATGCGGATGATGTTGATTATGGTGGTGGTGACGAGCTGATCATGTTGTTGACGATGATGATGATGATGCTGAAGCTGCTGCTGATGATGATGGTAATTTTGATGGTGCTGATGTTGATGCTGGTGCTGATGATGATGGTGATGTTGATGGTGTCTCTGCTGATGATGATGATGATGAGGAGGAGGAGGTGATGACGGTGTTGATGTTGGTGATTATGATGACGGCGATGATGACGATGATGATGACGACTGTTGATGACGATGATGATGCTAGCTGATGATGATGATGTTGATGGTGGTGGTGGTGGTGCTGATGATGATGAGGATGATGAGCTTCAGGTGAGTGCGCCAACCGTGGAGGCGGAGGTTTCGGAATGGGTTGGTTCGTGTGCCGGAGACGAACGATTTTGAGTACTGGATGTTGTGTTCCAGACGGAGGGGAGGTTATTTTCAAGTTCAGCTTGGAGAGGAAGCCTGTCCAGTACATGGTATTGGGTATGGTATTGGAGACGGAGGCTGTTGTGTCGTAGACGGAGGGGGTTTCGTAGACGGAGGGGGTGTAGACGGAGGGGGTGTAGTGTGTGTAGACGGAGGGGGTTTCGCAGTGGCCAGGCGTGTGCGGTGTAGACGGAGGGGGTCGAATAGGAGGTTATTTTCAAGTTCAGCTTAGGGAGGGAGCCTGTCGAATATTGGGTGTTGTGTTGGAGACGGAGGCAGTTGATTACTTGGTATGTGTTGTAGACGGAGGGGGTCGAGTAGAAGGTTCTTTTCAGGTTCAGCTTGGGAAGGGAGCGTGTGAAGCAGTGGGTGTTGTGTTAGAGACGAAGGGTGGTTAGTACTGGATGTTGTGTTGTAGACGGATGGGGTCGAGTAGAAGGTTCTTTTCAAGTTCAGCTTGGGGAGGGAGCCTGTTGAATATTGGGTGTCATTTTGGAAACGGGGGCTGTTGAGTACTAAGTGTTGTTGTAGACGGGTGCGAGAGAGTATTAAATTACAGCTTCGGAGGGGCAAGATTTTTCTGGATATTTCTGAGGGGCGAGATTTTCCGGGCGATCTTGCCACGGAGATTTCCGAGGGGCAAGATTACCCGGGAGATTATCCGGGAAATTTTTCGAAGGGCAAGATTTGGTTTGAGATATTTTTGAGTTCTGTGGGGCGTCCAAGATTTGTTTTTGATATCTGGGTTCGGACAACGTCTGAAGGCGCTTCCCCGATCTAGCCGTGGGAGTCGATGAGGATATCGACGATGAGGATGCGGATGAGGATGGAGTTTTCGGAGTTGACTAGAACCTAAGCGCGCGTAGCGCGCGTGGACCTACTGTGTTTTTTTATATCCACATCTGTATACATATAGAAAGAGAAGAGAGAGAGAGAGAGAGAGAGTGAGAGAGAGAGAGTGAGAGAGAGAGAGAAACGACATATAGAGATCGATCGAAAAAACAATGAAGATATATAGAGATATACACACAACTGATACATATTTGCAGAGAGAGGGAGAGAGAGAGGGATAGAGAGAAGGAGAGGGATATATTTCACTAAAGGTATAATCAGTGTCTGCGCGAAACGTTCCTCTCAGCAGTCCAGCCTATCATCGCGCACGCGGGCTGCCCCGAGCCTCCTACAGAGCGTGCCACGCCTGGCCACTGGAGACTGGAGCGAAGACACGCGCGACGCGGCGGAAAGCGGTGTGTCGGGTTCTCTCCCGAACCGGCGGCAGGCACGTGGCCCTGCGCACAGGAGCAGTTCGCACCCCCTCCCTTGCTGAAGTCGGGATGGGCTGTCTTCCCTGACTTTCTTTTCGTTGCGGCGCACATCACATCACGGCTGAAGATTCTTGCTGACTCTTGAGCTTCAGGGGCCCTCGCCGGCCCCCGAGATCGTCAAACATTTCCTTAGAAGCGGGGAGGGCTTTTTACGGAACCGGCCGCCTTCTGAGAAGGCCGTCCCGCCTTCTATGAAAGTCGCCGCTGCCGCGCCACCCCCTTGTGCGTGCCGCCGAGAAACCTCTGCATCCTTGCCTTCTCGGCCCATCCTTCGCCAATGTCGTCGGCCAGCACCGAAGGATTCCAACGCGGCCAGCTTCAACCGGGCTTCCCAGGGTTCCTGCGTCCTCACGGCGTCCGGCGCTCCAGGAGGATGCACCGCAGAGGTGTGCGGCGAATGTGATCTCTGAGGACACCCGGGGTCCTGCGCGATCGCGACCGCCGCCGTGACCAGATCTCGACCGCCTCGGCGCGCTGACCGCGACGGCGTCCTTGAGGGGCGCACAGGGCGTCCTGCCCGACCTGCGGGCCCGCCCCCCCCCGCGTAGTTCTTGACGCTTCGCGTGCCCCCACCAGCCCATCCAGAAACGACGCCCAGGCGAGTTGCCTTGATCGGGGACGCGGCGGAGCACACAGGAACAAAGAGCTGGAGAAACCGTCGTCCACCAAGAGGGGGAGGAAGGAGGAGGAATCGGAGGAGGAGGAGGAAGAAGGAGAGGACGCCAGTTGCCTCTTGGAACGTCTTGGGTGCCTCGGGGAGGCTCTTGGGGCCTCTTGGGGGTCTCTTGGGGGCCTCTCGGAGGCCTCTTGGGCGCCTCTTGAGGCCTCCTGGGCGCCTCTTGGGGCCTTCTTGGGGCGCTCTTGGGGGCCTTGGGGGCGCTCTTGGGGCCATCTAGGAGGAGATCGACTAACAAGATGGGAGCTGCGCCCTCTTGGGGCTCTTTTTGGGGGGTCCTGGGGTCCTCTTTTGGGGGTCTTGGGGCGCTATTGGGGCCCTCTTGGGGCTCTATTGGGGCTCCCCTGGGAGCTTCGGATAGCCTCCTGGCCCCATTTTGGCGGCCATCGATCATAGGAGGGGGGGGGTCCCCGATTTTCCTCTCCCCTACGAGTGCAATCCAAATACCCTCTTGGGGCGCACTTGGGGCCCTCTGGGGGCGATCTTGGGCGGTCTTGTTGGGGCCGGCTTGGGGGCCTCGTGGGCCCTTCTTGGAGTTTGGGCCATCGTGGGGCCATCTTGAGGCCTCACAAGCGCATCGGAAGCGAAAAGGCGAGAAGGCACAACTCATTGGTTTTCCTTTGGTGTTTGAAGGGTTTTGGCTTCTCGGGGAGGTCCTGACGGGTCTCCAAAAGCACTTGGATCCGTCTTGTGGCCTTCTTGGGGCCTCTTGGATGCATGTTGTTAGCTATCTTGGGCCATGCAGGGCTATCTTGAGCGATCTTGGAGACATCTTGGGCCATCTTGGACGCTCCAACCCCTCGCGAACCCTCCTGTCCAGGTCCAGGTTAGGGGATAGGGGAAGGGGTCAAAACGCCATCCCCGCCCGCAAGCCGTCTCGCTCACTCCCACCCGCCCTCCCATCACATACGTAGCACCCGAGCCTGGCCCGAGCCGCAGCATATGCAGCAGTCGTCTTTGGGTGGGCAGCTACTGGGGGCGAATCCGCCGCCGCCGCCGCCGCCGCCTCCGCCGCCGCCGCCGCCCGCCGCCGCCGCCGCCGCCGCCGTCGCCGCTGTCCGCCGCCGCCGCCGCCACCGCGTCGCCCGCCGCCGCCGCCGCCGCCCGCCCCCGCTGCCGAATCGCCGCCGCCGCAGCCGCTGCCGCCACCGCTGCCGACGCCGCCGCCGCCACAGCCGCCGCCGCCGCCCGCGCCGCACGCGCCGCCATCGCCGCCACCACCGCCGCAGCCGCCGCAGCCGTTGCCCCCGCCGCAGCCGCCGCCGCCGCCAAGCGTACGCTGTATGGCTTTTGACAGGGATGGTGTGGGGATGCCGCATCGGGTTCGTTGCGGATGCTCCGAATTTGGAGGGGAAGAGTGTTTTGTCTCGTTTGTTACAAGGGATGGTGTGGGGGGCCCTCATTGATTCGGGTTGGCTCCCAGTCGCCTGGGGCAGGGGTGTTTATTAATAGGGAGCAGTGCTCAAGCGTCTCCCTCCCCGACCGCAAGCCGTCTCGCCCACTCCCCACCCGCCCTCCCAACACATACGTAACACCCGAGCCTGGCCCGAGCCGCAGCATATGCACCAATCGTATTTGAATGGGCAGCTACTGGGGGCGCATCCGCCTCCGCCGCCGCCGCCACCGCCGCCGCCCGCCGCCGCCGCTGCCGCGCCGCCGCCGCCGCCGCCGCTGTCCGCCGCCGCCCGCCGCCGCCGCCGCCCCCGCTGCCGAATCGCCGCCGCCGCAGCCGCTACCGCCGCAGTCGCTGCCGCCACCGCCGCCGCCGCCGCCGCCGCCGCCCCCGCCGCCGCCACCGCCGCAGAAGCCGCAGCCGCTGCCCCCGCCGCAGCCGCCGCCGCCGCCGCCAAGTGTACTCTGTATATTTTTTGGGGGACAGGGATGGTGGGAGGTGACCGCATCGGGTTCGCTGCGCATGCTCCGACTTTGGAAACAGAGTGTTTTTTTCGAGGGATGGTGGGGGCAGGGTGTGTGTTTGTATGGTGTTTTACAATGGATGGTGGGGGGAGGGGCGCATGGACCTGGGTTGGTTCCCAATCGCATGGGGGAGGGGGTGTACACTAATAGGGAACAGTGATCAATACATCCCCATACATAGCAAACCGCCTCCCTCACTCACACCCGCCTTACCAGCACATAAGCAACACCCGAGCCTCAGCATGCTCAGCGATCGTCTTTGGATGGGCAGCTATTGGGAAACAGTGCCGGCCGAATGTGCGCGACGCTGGGGCGAGGTGCCCCACGCGTGCCAGGCGCGCTACCCGCGCCAGGCACCCCTGGGGCCCGAGCGTGCCTGGTACGCCAGGTGCGCCAAATGCGCCACGTGCTCCACGTGAGCCAGGCGTGCTGCATACTCCAGCCGTGCCAGGTGCGCCACGTTCGGGGCACGCGCAGGGTGTCTCAGGTGCGCTTGCGCACGTGGCACCACACATCGGGCAACATGTCGGCCCCCACCACCCTTGTCGAACAGCAGTGCCCATAATTGTGTCTGGTGGGCCTGCGCACAGCAGGCCATACGCCACCACCCCCGCCGCCCCCTGCCAAAACCACTTGACAGTGATCGCGGGGTGGTCGCGCATGTCCAGATTTAGCCGCGAGGTGGATTTTGCATTTTCTTTGTTCGGGATGGTCGCCTTGCCTGCAGCAGGCGATCTGCTGACACCCCCACCGCCCCTGTCAAAAACAATTCAGCATGCCCGCGGGTTTCACGAACATGATCCAAAAACTTTGTCCCACATTGTACTTGGTGTATTAATTGTTGGACAGGGATGGTGGCGGGGCGCATCGGGTTGGCCGCGCATGCTCCAAATGTGAGGCAGAGTGCGTTTTGTTTGGTGTTTTGACAAGGGTGGTGGTGGTGGGGGGGGGGGCGGGTGGGCTGGGCGCGACCTTTTGTTTGTATGATTCAAAAAATGTTGTTTGATGGAGTTCCTTTTTGATTTTTTGTGCATCTCCATCATCGGCTGACACGTCGAGTGCGTTAGTATTGCAGGAGGGGGGAGGGGCATGGACAACTCCCGAATGGCTTCTCGTTGTGTTCGCGTTGCGTTTGGATTGTATTCGTATAGGTGAAGGGAGAATGGGAGAGGGAGACATTCCTATTGTTTCCCGATTGCGTTCCTATTGGATGCCCGCATGGAAAAGAGGAAGGGAGGGGCGGAGGAACCCCGATTGCATTCTTATCGCGTTCCTATTGAAAGAGAAGGGGGGGTGGAGTGAGGTGGTCATCTTGTTTCTTTTTGCAAGCCTGTTGCAATTGCATTGCAAGGGGGAGGAAGGATGAGGAGGCTCCAGGGAGGGCGGAGGAGGGGGGGGGCAGCGGAAACTCTTCAGCAAAACAGGACAAATAGAAAACATGGACAACAGCTTGGATTCTCTAACTGGCAAATAGGAAGAACGAACACAAGATCGACAACCACAGTGTTTGTGGCTTTTTCTTATGCTCCCTTGTGAAATCATGTTTTTTTGCCGTTTTCCTGTTTTTTCCAACTTTCCCTGTAAGCTTCCGCGCCCCCCTTCCCTCTAATGAAAACGCAATATGGGTGCAATATGAAAGCAATCGGACTTCCTTACCGCCCTCCTCCCTTCCTTACCTACTGAAATCAATCCCGATTGCATTCCTATCGCGTTCCTATTGAAAGAGGAAGGGGATGGAGTGAGGCGGTCATCTGGTTTCTTGTTGGGTTCCTATTGTGATTCCAGTGGAGGTGGAAGGAAGGATGAGGAGGGAAGGCAGAGGAGGGGGGAGGGGCAGCGGAAGCTTATCAGGAAAGCCGTAAAACAACAGCAAACACATAAAACAGCGTATGTGTTCTCATTGACAACTGGGAACGGAACAATTGAAAAAGGACGGCAGTCACAGGGTTCGTCGCTTTTTCCGTTTTTTCTATGTGACATGTTTTCCAGTTTTTCCAATTTTCTGGGTAAGTTTCCGCGCCCCCCCTCCTCCACACTCACTCCTCCTCCTATCTCCCTCGCCTTTCTCATGCAACCGCAATAGGATTGCAATACGAAGCACATCGGATCTCCTCACCGCCCTCTCCCCTTCCTTCTCTACCGGTAGGGGTCCCGATTGCATTCCTATCGCATCCTATTGGAAGAGGACGGGGATGGAGAGAGGTGGTCAACTTGTTTCTTATTGCAAGCCTATTGTACTTTCATCGGAGGAGGAAGGAAGGATGAGGAGGGAGGTCGGAGGAGGGGGGAGGGGAAGCGGAAGTTTTTTCATGAAGATAGGGGAACAACACAGGAAACATAAAACATGGCCCTGCGTGCTGGATAATGTGTTCTTGAGTGTCTCCGTTCCGCTGCCGTTTTTGGGCCGAACCCCAGAACTTTCAGACGGCTGTGTAATGTTCGGCCCGCTCGCCCAAGTCACCTCCGCTTCATTTGCAGGGAGCTGGCTGGGCGGTGTGGTTCGACCGAGCTTGTGCGAGTGCAGCCGCGCCTGTCAGGTCAACTCGGACGAGGGGGCCTTGAAGCTGCTCGAGAGGCAGCTGGACCGCTGCGGCCCAGAGCACCTGTGCCCGAAGTGCCCGAGCTGCCCATCGTGGCCAGCGCCGACTCCTTGCCCGCCGCACTGGCCGACAGGGCTGGGCGGCTTCGTCGCGGGGGTGGCCTCGACCGTGGTGTTCGGTCTCTGCGTCAGGCGCTGCGGTTTCACGGCGGGCGCGGCGACCCGGGCGGCGCGGGCCCCCTCGCAAGGCTCGGCGCTCGAGCTTGGGGACGCGCCCCACGCCCTGCCAGCCGCAGGCGCGGCCCCGCAGGCCCCGGCCCCGCCGTCGCCCGGAGCCGCCCTCGCGCCGGGCGGGCTCCGCGGGCGCGCGGCGCGCGGCGCGGGCGTGCTGACGTTGGGCTGAGGCGCTCGCCCGGTAGGGCAGCGCCACTGCGACGCTCCCGCCTGGCGCGTTCGCCTTCGTGCAGTATGACGATCCAGCCGACAATGGACTCTGGCACGAACGCTTGATCATGGGCTGGATCGCCGGGGCAGGGTACGTTGTGATGACGCCGGACGGGGGCGTCATAGAGCAGTTCGACTCCGCCAACCGCGACCTCTCGGGAGTGCGGTTCTCGCCAGCGACAGGAGGCCTCCCTGCCGGGCTTGCAGGCGCGAGGCTCTACAGGTTCGCGGCCCAGCCCGTCGGCGCCGACCTGGCAGCCCTGCTTGCCGAGGGAGCCTCTCGCGCTCGCGTGGGGCGCCAGGCGAGGGGCCTGGCTCAGCCGCCTGGCGCGGGCGCGGCGGGCGGCCCTGGGGGCGTCGCCCCAGTCGTGGTCCCTGTGCCCCTGCCGGTGGCGCCGCCACCGACCGCGCCAGGGGCCCCGTCGCCGCCGCCGCCCGGCCCGAGGCTGGCGCCAGCGGGCGGGTGCTGGGTCTTTGATGTACCTGGGGCCATGCACGCAGTCGGGCAGGAGTTCATGTATCCCGCTGGGGCGCTGGACTTTGGGGGCCGGGTTTTCGTGACCGTCGGGAGTGACATCACAACTGGCTCCTTCGTCGCCGCCGACACGGACTTGGACGTGTGGGCTGCGGAGCGCCAGCTCTTCCTGATGGGGGGGGAGCCCCGCCTCCTGCCGCGCCGCCAGCCTGCTGAGCCTGTCCCCTTCACCGCGGACGCCCTGCTGCTGCGCAAGGATGCTCGCACCGAGATCCGCCTGATGGGGCCGCCCAGCATGGGCGACGCGGTGTCGGCGCTGCAGGCGCGGAGCCCTGGCGGCTTCATGGCCTCGCACGAGCGCTGGCTGGTGGAGGGCCGCGTGCCTGCGTCCAGTCGTTCGGCTCACGAGCGCAGAGTGGTCTCGAAGGCGCTGGAGCTGGCGCACGCTGTGGACGGGGTCAATTTGGCGAATCTGACCAGTATGGAGTACCTCAACCGGCGGCGCCAGCTCTTTGAGGAGGCGCACAAGTCCGATCCAGATAAGCCGAACTTCAAGGGGGCCCACTACTTCCTGGGAGAGGATAACACAGGGTTGTGTATGGAACCCGTGTAATACCCTCATATATACTCCTTATCCTTACCTCTCCCGCACCTGGCCGTTTGGGCTCAGGTACTGAGTTGGAGCGATCGTACCTTGATCGCTTGGGAGGGAAAGATATCCATCTATCCCTCCATCTCTCTACCAACGGATCAGGGGTTCTGTACTCTTGTACTTCAACCCCATACACAGGTTATCAGCCCTTTAACGCTCACCTTCACCGACTCGCCCGCGGTGACCTTGCATGCGAGCCCAATGGAGCCGCTTCGGCGCATGCGCCGTAAGGGTTCCATTGGGGCTTCGCGTCCAAGCTCTCCCACGGTGCGACGGCTCGGTGACGAGTTGGAGAGCATTATGCGGACTGTGTTGGTGTCCCCGATACCCCCCCCCCCAGCTCCCGAGGACCCGAGGCGCGTCTAGCTGCTGAACTTCGCCGCAGCGCCGCCCGCGGGGGGACAGGAGAAGGAGTAGGAACAGGAAGGAAGGAGTTTCACACGCCGACCTTTGATCCTCCCTCCCCTTCCCCGTCGGGAGCAATCCCAACCGCGTCAGGCGAAAGCCTTACCGGTGTCGATACTCCATGGCGCTTCCGCGCTAACCGCCGATGGACCTCAGGTGCTGGAACCCCCAGCCCTGCGACCGTCCCTGTGGCGGAGCACGTAGCTACCTTCGAGGAGCTCAGTAGACCAGTGTCGGCACAGCCACAGACGCGGTACCCCAAGGTATCATCGGATGAGACATCACACACACATGGTCCGAGTCGCAGCTCGTCCGCGCGCAACCGCCGTGGAGCCCCAGGCCCATACGGCGAGCGCAGGTCGAGCCCGCGTACTGCCTCTCAGAGGCCATGCACTCCCCGCGACAGGGGACACAGGGAAGCTGACGCTCCCCACCTCTCCATCTCAGACGACCAGCTGGCGGAGACGTCCGCCGCAGGTGACATAGCTGAGCTCAGAGACCAGGTTGAAACCTTCGTGTCCAGCCAATACTCTGGACTACTACAGAGCGTTCAGACGAACGCCACTGATACTGCAGCCATACGTCGCGATCTTGACGGCGCCTTAGGGATCATCGATTCCAGGATCGCCGAAGATAGACGCATCATAGGAGAACTGCAGTACCAGGTTGATCGTGAGGTGTCACACTCAGGTGAACGAACGGCGATGGTCGAGAACCTGCGCAACTATCTCGCGCAGATGGAGCAACAACTTGTGATCGTACGCGACACAGGCATTTCTGCGGTCAGGATTTTACACGATGAGATCCACGACCAGCTCCGTAACCGACCAACCCCAACCGAGGCCACAGACCTCGGCGACGTTCAGTCTCAGATCAATGATCTTCGATCTTACCTAGACCACACTACGGCGACGCTTCGTACCGAAGCACACACAAACTCGTCGAACCTGATCGACATGTTGCAGCGTACTGAGAGAGTCATCACTCAAAGGCTTGATGCGACCAACGCTGTCGTGCAGCCACTCGCTAACCGGATCTCTGACATAGAGCAGCGTTTCCCTGGTGTACAGGACGCCCTGGCAGAGTTGCGTGTCGGACGAGCCCAGACTGATCAGCTGGATTCTCCTCCCACGGTTTACGATTTCGCCCGCCTCACTGACAGGTTGCAGGAGGTTGAGAAGGCGGCGGACCACGCGCAGTTAGAGCTCTCCCAGGTTATTCATGAAAGAGATACTGAGAAGGTACGTGTTGAGAGTTATCTCGCACGACTGGAAAGCGAGGTGGAGGCACAAAGCGCCCGTCTCCGAGCATGCGAGCAACGACTTGATCGGTATTCCCAACGGTCTCGGGATACTGATGAGTACACACGCCAAAAGGTGGGTCAAATACAAGAAGACATGACGAGCTGGACGAATCAGCTGATCGACCACACTAACGACACCAACATTCACCTTCGACCTGCAGCCGACCCGCACAGGCCGACGGCAGCGTCCGCCGAAGCACCACAAGCTTCAGCAGGACAACAACGACGTAAATCTCCAGGAGCAGCCTCCGCGGCAGTTTCTGCACAGACACGACATGTGTCTCCTGTGCGCACAGAACCAACCATCGACGGTGCACCGATACCCTCGCAACCAGTGTCTGCGGTGTCGGTACATACAACGACGCCTATCAAGGAGTCAGACACCGTTCGAGTACCTGTCTTGCCTAAGATCACGCAGCTGCTGGAATGGCAGCAAAGAGTGCGAAAGAACTTCGGGGCCGCCTCAGGGCGACCATCCAAAGCATACGCCTTCCTATGCGTGGCAGAACAGCCCGAATGTACATTCGAGGATTTACAAGACAGTGGAGACTTTGAGAGCATCGATTGCAAACTCGCAACCGCTCTGAGCGACATCTTATCCTCAGACTTACGCTACCAAATCAGGCTCATCGAGACCAGAGAGCACAAAGCAGGACGCATGCTCAAAGGACGCCAGATATACTGGCATATCCTACAGTCCTACAAAGTGACAGACGTCGACGACGACCTGCACGATTTCGAGCGCCTTAAAGAACTGAGGATGAGAGACGAAGATTTGCAACGTTTCATTACCGATTGGGACGCCTTACTCTTGGAATGCCGAGAAGTACCCGATCCAAAGATATTGGAATCGCTATTCCGCACACAGATTCGTAGACATGCATGGATGAAACAAGACATGTACGAGTACCAGCGCATGAAGATGAGCGACCCGAATCGTACCTACGGTTGGCTTCGACAGCGTGTCCTGGACATACTGGAGATTAAACAATTGGAGAAGAATCAAAACAAGCTACGGTACGAACACGAGACACGATCTCAGGTCAACGTGTGCGTTGCATGGAAGAAAGGCAATTGTCGCAATGGTGAACGGTGCAAGGCTTTACATACATATTCCAGGGATTGGAAGAACAACAAATCTTCCAGAACATCAACGGCTGGTGGCAACCCCCGCCGTAGCATGTCCTTTCCTGCGAATCACAAGAAGCCAGCATCAAGGCCGTTCTGCTTCGATTTTGCCAAGCGCAACACATGTACCAGAGGTGATAAGTGTAACTACCCGCACGTCGCACAGTGCAAGGATTTCGCACAGAACAAGTGCACAAAAGGCGACAAATGCAAATACGCTCATCTCGCACCTGGTGCAAAGACTCCTGAACGAAGCCCGAGTCGACCGCGGACTTCCAGCCAGGACAGCCGTGGCCGATCGCCATCCCGCGGATCAGGAAGCCAACGGTCTTCACAACGCGGGGGGTTTCGCTGCGCTAGCGATTCACGACAGGGACGTGACAACCGACGCCAATACGACCGATCCCGTTCGACATCCAGGAGGTCCCAAGACTCTCGCAGCCAATCGAGAAGTCGTTACGACAGATCTTCGAGATCTACCTCCCGAGGACGAGACAATCGTGGCGGCGGACGCGGCAGTCCACGCGGCCGTGATAGATCATATGGCAGTGACAAAGGACGTGGCAAGCGGTATCCGAGCCGCGGATCGTCCCGTGGTTCACCCAACACTAGAGCACGTTCTCCTGCCAACTTTAGACATTCACGCCGTTCAGACCGCAGCTACGTCATCCGTGACAAGACCCTCATGGCCAACACCAAGGCCACAACGACATCTACCAAGATACGTCGTCGGATACGCTTCGACGTACGCAACGTGGACTACTATTTCCATACCATATCTGGCAGAGCCAGACTGGACAGGTGGAAAGAGCTGCCGACTGAGGGTGACATCGTCAAAGTACCAGATCCATTACCACAAAAATGGTGGGATGATAGTGCAGAGGCTTTACGAGAATGTCAAAAAGAGGCACAACAATGGTACGACGAATTGTACGACTACCGACACAACAAAGAGTCGGTGGCCACACCAACTGCGATCCGAAAGCATGACGACACTGTCAAGCAGTCATCAAAGACTGCCCAGACGACAACAACGACAAAGCAAGTCGACACTCCACGCTCGACTGCAGCATTGACAAGGTCTTGGGTTCTTGACAGTGGTTCTGCCCATCATATTCAGGGAAAACATGAACTTACGCAGACCGAGTCGGATCGCATATCTATTCGCGAAGAGCATATTCTGGAAACTGCAAATGGTGATCGTACCGTCAACGAGCACTACGACATACGGCTACCCGAAGTTGGACTGCATAGTTCAGCCCTTGCTTTACCAGACTGCCCATCATTACTATCAGTTGGAAAATTGATCGAGGTTGATGGCTTTCGACAGCTTTGGGATCCTGAGCTGGGCTACATGCTTCAGGATCCGGGGGGCCAATGGTATCAGATTCCAGTCAACAATCGAGTGCCAGAGTTACGACTCGACGACTTAACACGGATACCACCACCACGTTTATGCACTTCGTCAGCACCCCGCCGTCGTCAGCGAAAGCGTTCATCCGCCCGCTGTAACGACACTTGTTGGTGCTGCAAAACTACAGAGCAACCAACCACTGCAGACGAGCTACGACCCCACATAGGGACCTGCCCCAAGAGACCACATGTCGGAGAGGGAGGAGGAGCACGGACCATCACGGTCGAAGAACCTCCCGACACAAGAACAGACGAGACCAACGTGGACGCTACCACCGACTCGCCTACGTCTCAGATGCAGTGTTCTCCTCCACAATGCGGGGGGTTCGATATAGCTCAAGCAGACAACAACATACCGACAGAGACACCCACACGAACGCATCCAGACAACGATCGAGTTCTGCCCAACAGACAAAAGAAACCGATCGACCCGATGCATTACATGACTCACAGCCCAAAACATCCCGACTGTGAGATCTGTTCTCGCACGATGGCACAGAATGCCCCGTGTAGACGACAGCGCAAACCACATCCACCGGCAGACCCCACCGAAGAGGATAACGCCTACGAGGCTTTTGTCCCGAAGAAGTTCGGTGAAGCTCTAACTGCCGACCATATCGTACTGGCCAAAGACGATGCCGCGGACAAACATGGCGACAAATATGCACTTGTTGTCCTT